AAATAACTACACAATACAGTCTATACTAGGCTGTTTTGAGATTTCCTCTGCCCACAGAATTAACCCAAATTTCTTCATTTTAGCCTCAAGGGCCAAAAGCAGCCACTCTTCACCAAAATATCACAAGAATGATCTCTAGCACATATATTAATATTCTTCTCCTTTGAAACCTCTTGAGCCAGGCCCCCACAGTTCAAATCATTCTTAGCACAAGAATATTACAAAAAAACCACAACTGATCAAAATGTAGAGAACAAGATATCACATGGTTCCAAGTCCCAACTGATACATCTACAACACAATTGTAAAAGATGGGACAGAAAGATTGAAAGACCCAGAAGAACAGGATTTTGTTGTGAAATTCTTTCTCCTAGTAATGTCAAAGAGGCTATACTCATGAAGTATCACCAACATGGCTGCTTAAATGAAATCTGAACAATGAGGGCACCAATGAACACACTAACATAATAGAGGGGAAGTCATGGGGTCTCAATGCTAGACAAAGAACTATAGGCAACTGGGTAATGCTGAGACTGGGAGAAATGATCTTCCCTAGGGATGAGCCCTTCAATTGGCTATCCAATACCAAGTGATCAGCCTGAGATCTTACATATGCAGGTAACTTTATACAGGCTGAGTCAACTGCATTTATGTATTTACTTAACAACCTTTTATAAATTGAATGGAATGAAATTTAGGAATATATTATCAACTTCACATAAACTTACCAGAAGCTGTAATTTATTTTATTAAATAACTTTAATGCCAAAAATGAAACCAATTATAGGCCAGGCATTTTACACAACACAAAAGTCAGAGTATCAAAATGATCCAGGTTTTCCCACAACCCGATAAACAGATCCATGCTCTAAAAACCTAAGTATTGCACCAAACAATAGCTGCTATGGCAACAAGCTGTTATTCTTAGCAATGCATCACCTTTTCAGTCAGCTGTAAACATCTCGGCCATAATTTACTCATGCAAACAATATTTAAGTAGCTGTAACCAGAATTAGTGTCACTGGCTATTGAAATGTTTCTTGAATAACAAAAGTGTTGTCTTGGAGTAGAAAAGGGGCAAGCACCTCCATCAGTTGTTTGATATCCTTTTTTGTAGTAGAATGATCTGATCCAAGAGACATTTTTATCCATAGCTTCCTTACACACAAAGCTAAAGTTTAACAAATATAAACACAATCACAATCAGGGAGCTGATCTACCAAGGAGACATAGAAAATAATTCAGTTGTGCTAGGTTGTCAAAGTAGACATTGCTCAGCCAATAATGGAGTTTAGAGAATATAAACTGCATTTACAAAGGAAATAAGAAAACATCTAGGAAGGCTCTAGGGCTATGTAACAACTGGAATGTCTAAGCTGAAGAATGAAAAATAATGAAAAATGCATTTAGTCCAACTTCAAAGGTCCCCATAGTCTATCACAGTCTCAACAATGTTTAAAAGTCCAAAGTTGAAAGTCTCTTCTGAGATTCATGCAATCTCTTAACTATCCTACAAAATTAAAATAATTTTTTTTGCATTTTCTCACATCTATGGGAGAAAGTGAGAATTATAAAAGAAGAGGGGATGGGACTTAAGGTATGGTTCAGTGGTAGACCATGTGTCCAGTATCCATGAGGCCCAGGGCTCTATCACTATCACTTAAAAAGAAAAAAAAAAAAAAAGGAACATCAGCATGAGCAAATGTGTTAACAGAAGTAATCTCTGGACATGTTCACAGAGCATGAGATTGTTTGAGAATGCAGAAATATATGCATGTCAACTATAAGAAATAAGGCTATATTCTGCGGTGGTGGTGCATACCTTTAATCCCAGCACTCAGAAGGCATAGGCAGGTGGAACTCAGTGAGCTCAAGACCAGCCTGGGCTACAGAGCTAATTCCAGGACAGCCAAGGCTACACAAAGAAATCCTGTCTTGAAAAAACAAGCAAAAACAAACAAGGGAAAGAAAGAAGGAAAGAAGAAAGGAAGGAATGAAGGAAGGAAGAATGGATGGAAGGAAGCCAGCAAGCTGCAAAAAAGCTTTGGAACACAATGGAGAGAACTCTGAATTGTCAAGCCTTATTTGTAGGTCATCAAAGATGTTTTACACAGGGAAATGACTAAGATTAAATGATAAAATTCTTTTGTAAAAACTTAATTCCACTAGCCAAAAAGTAGAACAAAAAAGAAAATGGTCTGAATTTCAGGAATGACTTTTTTTTTTAAATTTTGAAATAATTGCTTATTCTTCAAAATTATTTGGTTAATTAGATATTTTTATTCAAATTTTGCACATAAAAAAGTGGTTCAGAGAAGTTTTATAAGTTGCTTAACATTGTAGAACTTTCAATAAATGTTATCAGAGGGCAGTCCAATGACTCAGCAGGTAAAAGTACTTGCTGCATGTGATGGTTTGAATGAGAATTGCCAACATAGGCTCATATGTTTGAATGCTTGGTCCCAGTTAGTAGAACTGTTTGGAAAGGATTATGAGGTGTGGCCTTGTTGCACTAGATATAGCTTTGTTGAAGGAGGTATGTCCCTAGAGATGGGCTTTGAGGGTTCAAAATCCCATGCCAGGCCATTGTCTCTCTATTTGCCTGCTGTTGGCAGATCAGGATGGATGTTAGCTTTCAGCTATTGCTCCAGCCCCATGACTATCTGCTTCCTGTCATGATGATCATGGACTAACTTTCTAAAACTGTAAGCAAAACCTCAATTAAATGGTTTTTTTGAGACAGGGTTTCTCTGTGTAGCTCTGGCTATCCTAGAACTCATTCTGTCGACCAGGCTGGCCTTGAACTAAGAGATTCTCTTGCCTCTGCTTCCCAGGTGCTGGGATTTAAGGCTTGTGCCATGACCAACTTAAATGTTTTTTTTTTTTTAAGAGTTGCCTTAGTCATGGTGTGTCTCTTCACAGCAATAGAACAGTAACTAAGACACTACATAAGCCTGATGACAAGAGTTCTAACCCCACAGGGGGAGGGGAGAACTGTCACTTAAACATTGTTCTTAACTATGTTCATAGCAGCATTATTCATAATAGCTAGAATGCTGTGGATATCACTCTGTATGCTGTGAATGTGTTGCTCTGATTGGTTAATAAATAAAGTGCTGATTGGCCAGTAGCCAGGCAGGAAGTATAGGCAGGACAAGCAGAGAAGAGAATTCTGGGAAGAGAAGGCTGAGTCAGGATGCTGCCAGCCACTGCCATGAGAAGCAAGATGTAAAGAAACCGGTAAGCCATGAGCCATGTGGCAAAGTATAGCTTTATAGAAATGGGTTAATTTAAGATGTAAGATCTAGCTATCAAGAAGCCTGAGCCAATAGGACATACAGTTCATAATTATTATAAGCCTCTGTGTGTTCATTTGGGTCTGAGCAGCTTCGGGACTGTAAGAACACAGGAGCCAGGTGGGCACAGGAAACCAATCAGCTACACTAGAACCTGGAAACAACCTAGATGCCCTTCAACTGAAAAATAAAGAAAATGTGGTACATATACACAATGGAGTATTACTCAGCTGTAAGAAACAATGACATCATGAATTTGCAGGCAAATGGATAGAAGTAGAAAATACCATCTGGAGTGAGGTAACCCAGACTCAGAAAGACAAACATGGTATGTACTCACTCATATGTGGATACTAGATGTAAAGCAAAGGATAACCAGACTACAACCCACAGCTCCAGAGAAGCTAGGTAACAAGGAGGACCCTAAGAGGCACAAATGGATCACCCTGGGAAAGGGAAATAGATGAGATCTCCATGAGTAAACTGGTGGGGGGGGCAATAGAGGGGAGGGGATGGGGGATAAGAACATGAGGGAATGGGATGGTCGAGTTGGGGGAGGGATGAAGTGGGAGAGCAATGAAAGAGATATCTTGATAGAGACATTATGGGGTTAAGGAGAAATCTGGTGCTAGGGAAATTCCCAGGAATCCACAAGGATGACCCTAGCTTAGACTACTAGAAATAGTGGAGAGGGTGTCTGAACTGTCCTACCCCAGTAGTCAGATTGGTGAATACCCTAACTGTCATCATAGAGCCTTCATCCAGTAACTGATGGAAGCAGATGCAGAGATAGAAGCCAACCATCAGGCAGAGCTCCGGGAGTTCAGTTGAAGAGAGAGAAGAGAGATTATATGAGCAAGGGTGGGTCAAGATCAGGATGAGGAAATCAATCGAGACAACTGAACCAAGCTCATAGGAACTCACGAACTTTAAACTGACAGCTGCGGAACCTGCATGGGACCAGACTAGGCCCTCTGCATATGGGAGAGAGTTGTGTAGCTTGGTCTGTTTGAGGAGCCCCTGGCATTGAGATCAGGAGAGTTCTTGAGCTGGCCTTCTGGAACCCATTACCCATGGTGGGGTGCCTTGCTCAGCTTTGATGCAGGGGAGAGGGTCTTGGTCCTGCCTCAACTTAATGCACATGGCTTTGCTCTTACTTTTTTGGAGGAGAAGATGGAGGGTGGGCTATTGGGAGAAGCTGGAGGGCAAGAGGGAGAAGGGATGGGAGGGGGAATCTGTGCTTGATATGTACAATGAGTGGAAATTTTTCTTAAAAAAAAAAACACCTAAAAAAAATTGTTCTCTAACCTCCACACAAGCACCTTTGCACGCATGCATGCATGTACACACAAGTTTTTAATTCAGAAATTTAAATCTATCTCATGAGTATTCTCAGGCCCATTCTCATAAGCATTCTATATACTAACTTATCATTTGGGCATAAACATGAACACAGGAGACAATGAAATGGATCAACAGGTTTGACTGTGGGCAACCTCACCAGAACCTAAGTGATCTATATGTAAAATGAAGTAATACAGATATTTGCCTTAAGGGATTTTTAAAGATTAAATGAGTTAATTCAGATGAAGGGCTCAGAAAATGCACAGGAGGCAACATACAGCTAATAACTGAGTTGCCATCATCATTCACACTCCTAGAAAGGAAATATCCACAGGTGACTAAAACAGTTGGCGTACTTACTGATTTGGTTGTTCAGCTTGAAAGCAATGTCTAGCTGCAGAATAAACAGCATAAACTGGAACCATGGGCTCATCTCCATAGAAGGGAGGGGAATGTGCACAGAAAACACAATGTCATTGGCTTCAATTTCCCTTGGAATTGCTTCCTCGATGTCTCGGATCTTGTCACACTTGTTGGGTCCCCAAGGCACCAGCCATCTTGTCTTATGGTGGTTCTTACGGACATCCACACATTTTATTGACATGTAGGGCACTGCTGTTGTGGGTGCTGGAGCTGAAAAGATAATGTTTTCCTGTTTAGAAAAGAATACACTGAAGTAGTCACTTCTAGATAATACTCTTCAATTGTGCCTTCCTTCCAGTTGTACACTGCCATCTACAGCTGGGGAACACTTGCTCTCTGAAATCCTCCAAATCCAAGTGAGGACCCTCCTGTCATCTGCAGAGGGTCACAAAAGTATCTCCATAAGCCTTCCTATTATATTTCCAGTTAGTTACAGTACACACTTGTAAGCAATCTAATTCAGTTACAGCCTCCATTCAAATCTTTGTCACAAAATTCCAATGTGCCCCAAGAGCTGGGGACTAAGTGAGGTGCACTGCAGAGACCAGTCTCTGAACTCAGATGCCAGGTCTGAGACTTGGTTGACAACCTTAGTTAGTTGCATCTGTGCTAGCTTCAGGACCCTCATCTAAGAAATAAGTTGGCTGTCTTCTAAGGTTTCTTTTAGCTGGATGATTCCTAACCACTGCCTTTGATGTACAACTATGCTGACCTAGAACCCCACTTAGCTTGGTACTTATCTGAAGATGGATATTTAAAGATTGATACTTCTAAAACAAACTAAAATATTACCCATGTTTATCAAGAGAGAAAATAACATTTGAAATACATAATATGGGAGCACCGTTTTGTTACAAAATGATTAATATGACTGTAATAGTAAAATTGCAAAATATAGTTTGAAGTTTAAAACTTTTGCCTAAAATCTCCCTAGAGGAAAGTAACTACTGTTACAAAATCATTAAAACATTATTATTCTGCCGGGCGGTGGTGGAGCGCGCCTTTAATCCCAGCACTCGGGAGGCAGAGCCAGGCAGATCTCTGTGAGTTCGAGGCCAGCCTGGGCTACCAAGTGAGTTCCAGGAAAGGCGCAAAGCTACACAGAGAAACCCTGTCTTGAAAAACCAAAAAAAAAAAAAAAAAAAAAAAAAAAATTATTATTCTTTACTTAATATGTAATATATTAATATCTTAATATCTATATTAGTGGTAAATGTGTTTTTAGAAAGACTAGCAAATAACAAGTAAAAATGCTAGAAACTTCTGCACTCAAGAAGTATAACTGAAAGCCCTTGAGTACTGGGTGTTGACTCCATCAGCATGGTATCTCTATGGATTCATGCTATGGGAATTTTTTTTCTCAAAACTCAAAACCATATAACCACAAATACTTTGTATACATAATTTATCTAAAGTCATCTTGTCTAGCATATTATTAGAAATGAGTCAATCAAACATTGGTTATTTTGGTCAGCTAAACAGTTTCCTGATGTTAGAAAGACTAAATGACACATTTAATTGGACCCATTTTAATGTGGTTGGAAACTAGACAGTGAGGCAAAAGTCATAAATTCCACTTAAGTAACATAGTCAAACTGACTATTTGTTGCAAAAAATACTTACATTTCAAAACCTCTCATCTCCCAAAATGAACCTAATCTTTTTCATTTATTTTATTCAGTTTGAAAAACAAGTATTTTACTCCTCAGACAAAAATAAAAATAACTAGCCAAGTTCTTCAGCTGAGCTCCAAAACCACATTCCACATGGAACAACAGAGCACTGGACACCAGACAGTACAGAGACTGCGTTTCCAGCGGCTTGTGTGGGAGACTGTGTAGTCACCAACCTGGTTTTCCTTTTTTTTTAAACCCAGTGTATCATCCACAAAGTAAAATTCCCAGGAATACTCATATTCTTAAGAGATCTTGGCAATGGACTTCAAGAAGCTCCAAATGTGTATCTTTAGCTAGACTACGAGAATGAGAAATATTTTTATTCGCTGGAATAAGATAGCCTAAAAAATCATTTAAAACTTGAAAACTGCACATAATTAAACACTTCAACTTTTTCTTGTAGTATCCAAAAGGAAAACAATGTTTATACTATTTGAAAATGGCACACTGGTATTCAAGCATAGACAGAGTTCCTTTGGTGATATCTTTACAACTGAGGATGACATCTTACCTGCAGCTAAGAGTAGATACTCAGTGTCTACAGCATGTAAAGAAAACAGAAAGCCAAGGGTGCGGCTTGTTTAGATGGTATTTCATCAGATGTAGTCAAAATTGTGACTACACAAATCATAAAACAGTATTTGAATAAAACTTTATTTGAAATCAGCCAGGCATGGTGGCACACACCTTTAATGCTAGCATTTAGGAGACAGAGGCAAGAGGATCTCTGTGAATTCAAGGCCAGTCTGGTCTACAAAGTAAGTTCCAGGAGAGCCAGATCTACATTGTGAGATACCACCTCAACAAAACAAAACAAAACAAAACAACAAAAACCTCAAAAGTTTGAACTTTGTTATTTTTGAAAGTGATTTTATAATGACAAAAGAACTAAACAGAGAAAGTTAAAGTTATCTGCAACTTTCGGACAAGACAAAAGTTTTGGCTGCATCTGATGAAATACCTTCCATAGCAAGCAACCAGAACAAGAGTAGTCCACTGTATTTACAATGAAAGTCTTAGTTCCTAATGTGATTCCGGGGAACAACAGTGTTAAAAAGAGACAGGCAGATCTCTGTGAGCTCGAAGCCAGCCTGGTCTACAAAGCAAAGGACAGCAAAACAGTGTTAAAAAGGGGTTACCTAGATTCAGGTCAACAAACCAAGTCATGTTTGATCAAATTAAAAGTAAAAACAACCACTCTGCAGTATTTGAAGGCTAGTAAAGCAGGATCATTAAACTGCTTCACATACTATAAAATTCCTCTGTACACATCCATAGAATATAACTTAATTGGAAATGTAAGGACTAGAAGCTGATTCTACATCAATACAATTTAGCAAGAAGGATATTGCAATAAAAAACAAATATGTCCTGTCACTGTGAACTGTTAACCTCTCATCTTGGCACCTATGAACACTGAAGGTATGCATGCAGGTAAGCTATAGAAAGCATTCGTAAAAATGTTGTCTCAGTCTTTGCTCTGTTCTCATTACCACATCAAACACAGGGCAGATTTTCTTCCTTTATCTGTATTTCAACAGTACTTTTGACTCCTCTCATCCGTTACAGTATTCATATTCTGAAATATGAAACTACACTATATTTTCAAAGTGATATGAAATCAGTAAGATATGTGACAAAATTAAGGTTGGGAAGCCACCTCTTAGAAAATGATCCTTCAGACACATTACTTCATACCCAATGGTTGTGAGGACTCACTATGTGCTAGACACTGTCAGCTGCTGGAGTAGACCTCTAATAATAGATACCAATAATGTGAAATATATGAATGATGAGGAATATAGAAAATAGGTAATTACTGTAAGTTTTAATTATAATTGTGATGAGTGCTACATTTAACCTGAGAAAGGGGAATAGTTAACTATCTGAAATATAGAAGGAATAAGAAGAGTAAAGTGATAGACAAATTTCAACCATCATCTCCAACTTAACCCCTAATAAAAAGGTAATCCAGTAACACCTAAGCCTGCATCTATTTTGGAAGAAAATTAATTGGCTCCAGTCAGCTTCCTTTATCTCAAATCATACCTTGGTTTGCAAATTACTTTCTAGCCAACCACTACCATTTTCCATGCTCAAAGCTGAGTCATTCTCAGCTATTCCTTCTAGAACCTGCAATTGAAAGATGCACAGGGAGAGACACAAGAGTTGGTTGCTGAAATGACAAATAGTTTCTGTTTAAGTCAACAGGGATTTTTTCTATTTCTTTGGTTTTAGAACAAGTAACAAAGCATCCCTTTGCAAATATCTGAGCATTGGACAGACAGTGACATCATGATAGAAAGTTGTTCCAAGAAGGGTCTGAATAAAGAGTTTTGGCTGTAAAGAAGTCTGGAATGGCTTACAGTGTCTACTCTTGAAATAGAGAAAGTGTGAGCCCAGAGAGCAAGGGGACCACTAGGTTAGGAAACATTAAGCAGATACTTTGCCTACAGATGTCCATGCTTGAGTTTGGAAAACTAGAAAGAACACTTTTAATTAACTGACTGATTGATTCAGACAGCTCTTGCTATGTAGCTCTGGCTGGCCTGGAATTCAGAGATCCACTTTCCCCTGCCTCCCAATGCTAGGGCTAAAGCCATGTGCTACCACCACATTTGGCATTAGGAGGAGCATTTCAATGGATCACAGCCCTTTGATTTTCTAGCCAAGGGCACGTTCCTACAATCATCTTGGTTTCTACTCTCAGTAGTCCCTACTCAGCTCTACAAAACACTATAGAAAAGGCACAATAAGACACACACAAAAAAACCAAAGAATTTTTATTTACGGACTCTTTTAAGATTCTTTCCCTCCCTCCCTCCCTCCCTCCCTCCCTCCTTCCCCCCTCCCCCCCTCCCTACTTCCTTTCCTCCTTACCGCCTTCCTTCTCCCTCCCCGAATCTGTACCTACTTAAAGGCAGACAGAAGATCAACTGGGAGAATAAGGACATTCCAGAGGGTGGTCTGAATGGGAATGGAAGAGCCCCACTTCTCCCACAGAGCCTTTGAAATCTTAGTTATCAGGTCATAATAACCTTTCCCAAATTAGATCAGAAATGCCTGCCTTACAACAAAAATGATATTTGAAGATTAATCTGCTTGGGCTGAGTGGAAGAAATATGGAGAACAAATTGGTTTGTGTGGGTAATTGGGTTTACAAACATTAATAAGCAGAACTTTGAAATTTGAAAAACATAATGATTTGGAGTGAAATAGTCAACAACTTCAGAAATATTTTATTTTTCTAAGAGAACTTAGCAATAAAAATAACAATAAAACAATGATGCACAAATACTTTCTTCTATGACTCTAATGGAAGGTTGAGTTAACTTTTGAATAATCTCAGTTAAAAACTTATACTCACTGTCTCTACACCTTTAAAAATATAAACAACTGCTAGCCAGTGGAAGTGTATTCGTTTAATCCCAGCACTCAGGAAGCAGAGGCAGGCCTGTGGGTTTGAGGCCATCTTGGTCTAAAGAGCAGGTTCCAGGACAGCCAGGGCTTCACAGAGAAACCCTGTCTTGGGGG